TATTACAATAGTACAGTAGTAGTACAGTAGTATAGTAGTCAGTATCACAATAATAACTTAGTACAGCAGTAATTACAGTTATAAGTATCTCTTTCAAGAACTTCGTACTAACTGCCTGGCTTCTAAAGCTTGCTGTCCTCTCGAGTCCAAAGCTTTCCCAATGAAGGGCTTGGCTTCTAAAACCACCAGAAGGCCCTCCCCGGGAGGAGTTTATAATTGAGGGGGGTTTATAATTCGGAAGAACGGCTTTTGTTAGTACTCCATCCGGATGGATTGATTTTTTGCTGCCAGAATTTAGGAAATATATTCAGGAAGGCATGGTTTAAATCTGCGGTTTCGGAGTCCCGTGGCTTGTCAAGCAAAGCTTTCCCAATCAAGGGCTTCTAAAGCTCTCGGTCCCTTTGAACCCAAAGCTTCCCCAATCAAGGGCTTGGCTTCAAAAGCTTGCCGTCCTTTTGAATCCAGAGCTTTCCCTATGAAAGGCTTGGCTTCTAAAGCTTGCTTTCCAATTCATGGCTTCTGCAGGCACCACCCGAAGGCCCTCCCCGGGAGGAGTTTATACGTGAGGGGGGTTTATAATGCGGAAGAACGGCTTTTGTTAGTACTCCATCCGGATGGATTGATGTTTTGCTGCCAGAATTTAGGAAATATATTCAGGAAGGCATGGTTTCTGAGATCCTCTAAATCTGCGGTTGCGGGGTGCCGTGGCTTGTAAAGCAAGCTTTCCCAATCAAAGGTTTTGGCTTCTCAAGCTTACTGGAGCGGTCCATTTTCTCCCTCTGCAATACGAGAGCGGTCGTAGTAATTGCAGTTTCTCTCTTTGTGCAAAACTGGAGCTGATTCCCACAAAGTTAAGCACACCGACATCACGAAACACTCCAAAAAATTTGGGTTTAGGGAGTCGGGTTTTATAATTGGGGGGGGGGGGTTGATAATTGAGTTCTGGGGGTCAGGTCAGGTTTTTCAATTGAGCAGGGGTTCTAAAAAATGAGGTCAACATTCTTCTCGACAAAGTTTATGAAGACATTCGAGTGTACTGGGATCCTGAAGTTGTTGGGAATCGGCCATGGCAGTACATGACTGGGTTCCGGAATGAGGCTTGCGGTGGGAAGTCACCGCATGTGGAGCCCGGCAGTAGCGGAACGGTCCACGAAGACGATCGCGACATCACGAATCTGTGCATTGCTGCGGCATCCTGCTTTCGGAGCTGAAGGAAGCTGCAAGGAAACGATTGCCAAAGGCGTTGCTCATTCCGTTTGTCGGAAACAAGAGTTGGATGGCAATCTAGTGACCGTACAACGTTGCGCATATAGATGCAGGTGGATGCGATGTATGCGCTCATGCGGATAAAGAGGCGACGGTTGTGAAAGAGTCCATCATCATGCAAAGATCTACACCGCGCCCGCGCATGCTGGCTGACGTGTTAGTAAGACCTCAAGCTGAAACATGTGGGCCAGATATGGCAACTCTCGTAAGTCGAACCTCCCATCATACATCCGTCGCCAGAACAACCGGACTGAATACATTCTGGCAAGCCACAAGGAATGGCAGGATTGACTCAGCTCAGCCGGCCTGAAGCTTAAAACCCATCTTCTCCTCGCCCGAAGGTGCTCAGTGCCGATGCCTTGACATATCATTCTCTAATGTCTCGTGCACGATATCGTCACGCGAACAGCAGAAGACACAAGACCTTGTGCAGACACCTCATACGACCGGGATGTTGGCCACTTGGGAGTGAGACCCTGCAGGCATCCGGACGGTGGCAGGCCCCGGCTCCTAGAGCTTACGCAAAGAAGCCAGACATTTGATGCTGTAAGTCTAGAAGGGTAAACCACTGTTGATGGGGCTTGAGACATTGAGCACCGGCATTTTGAGGCTGATGCTGTAGGCTTGTGCGCTGAGTGCTACCCGCTGCGACCCCACGTTGAGTTTCTAAGGGGGCGAAACCCCAAGCTCTCAGACCTAGGATGTCGGATTTTGCAGGTGGCACTGGAGCTTCTTGCAGGCATGTGCCGAGAGGCAGGGTTCGCAGGAACTTCATTCATGGGATGGAGCTTGATGTTCAGCATACGTCGCAAAGCGACGACCGCCAGTGGTTCTGTTGTAGCAACCGTGTTTCACATTGAAACAAACATCGTTTCAAACTGAACAAACGTTACCCTGACATGCAAACCCCAAGCCCTCGCAGACACAGCCCTCCACACTGGCCCCATTTGACATGTGCGGCCGGGCAGGTAGGCGGAAGTACCATCGGCAACTGGGCAGACAGTCCAGAAGTGTTGGACATCGGCTGTGCAGTTTCCCCTTGATCCGCAGAGTATGTGGAAGCCGTCAACACACCTCAAGAAACATGAGATTCCCGGGTTTCAACGAGCCTCGTCGGCGAAACCCTTTTGTCGAAAACTTTGTCCACAGCGATTGCAGGTTGGTGAGAAATGTTCGATATTTCTTGTTTGCTTATGCAAATGAGGCTACAACGCCTGCATCAGCGTTTGTGCCGCTCGGCATCGGAACTTCTGCTGTGGGGGGGGGGGGGGGTTCCCGTCCAATAGCTTGGGCGAGTCACGACTGGGTATCTGAGTCTGGCTGAAATCCCCAGAGTTTGGAGCGACTTTCCATGACTGTCGGGGCAATTCCGGCAGCTCCTGGGCTGTCCTGTGCAGAACACCATGAAAAAACGCGGCCACGGCTCCCAAAAGAATGTCTCCAAGCGTCAGGCACGGGGCCAAGCGTGGTCCATGGCCTGTCGGCTCCTGGAGGCCCGGGTTCAGGGAGTCTCTTTTTGTTGGTGAAGATCTCTTTCTCTTTGGAGCAGTTTGGGGCTCTGCAACCGAAGCTTGACCGCAGGACATGCCAGAAAAGCGCGTGCAGCCTGACACCGCGACTTGCTTCTATTGGGAAAGACCGAGCAACTAGGCTTCGTGAGAGACAAGCTCCTGCACTGTAGCAGAAGCCCAAAGCAAGAGTCCCAAGACAGCTGAAAGTCTGCTGTAGGTCAGCTTCAACGCCACCATCAGCGCTGCCAGCGAGGATGGGCTCCGAATTCCGAAGCCACTTGCAGAAGTGCAGTAGAGTTGGCTGAAGAGTCTCCGTGCGTCGGCTTTTGGTGCTCTCCTTTGCCTGGAAGGGGGCGCGTTGGCAGCCGGCGCTGGGCCTCTTCGACCAGATGACGCAGGAGACAGGGACTGCAAGGGGCTGGAGCCAGGCAACAGAACGAACACGTCTGAGAAGAGAACAGCCTTCAGGTGTGTGCGACTTGGCCTGGGTAGACCCGTTTACTGTGCCACAATGTGCCACAACTTCTTGGGTGCGATAGGCTTGCCGCTGGGGATGTGATTTGCAGCACTGGGGCCCCCATCCCAGACAGTTCTTCAGGAGCGAGTTCCTCACGATCTTGTCCCTGGGACAGCAGTCGGTGGCTGCTGAACCGAAGACGAAGATTGAAACCTGGTGACTGTACCCCTGGAGTAGACTGTGAAAGGGAGCCGTGTCTCACCACAGGAGTCGAGGAAGCAAAAATCCCGAGACAGCCCTTTCCGGGCAGGCTCCGGGATAATTAGCTAGGATGCGATTCTTCCATGAGGATCATCGGCTACCGTCTCTCTCTCTCTCTCTCTCTCATCCCGGGGCATCCTTTCAAGGTGAGCTTCAATGCGACCATGGATGCCTGCGCAATGTCTGGCGAGTGGAGGCTCGAAGCTCCTAAGCGCAAGTGTAGGTCTAGGAGAGTCTAAAGGCGATGACGCTTCGCAAGTGATTGCTCACAGCCATCGCCGGGAGCCGTCGTGTTGGGTCTGACCAAAAAACCGGGAGCCTGGAGACTCTTCTCGCGCATGCATCCCACGGTGCCTTCTTCGAAGGCCGGCATTGTCACTGCTCCGGGCGGCCGGCGTCCAGGCCGGTGCTCGGTTGGCGCTTGCTGGAAGTCTGCACCGATGGGTCCGGAACCGCTCCTCCACATCCATCGGCCTTCGCTGTCAGGCAAACCTGGTCTCTTTCAACACGGCCGCTTCGACGACAAATCTTCCAGCATTTGGTGGCCGCTGGGTTTTGGAGTACGGGCTTACAGGCTCACGGTTGTGCTCTGAAGTACCTGGCCCTCTCTGTGCTTTGCCAGGCTTTGACTGCTTGCCACCGCGGATCTGCCTGGGCAGCATCGCTGGAACTCTTCGCCTTGCTGTGCCTGGGCGGCTTGGGGGGGGGGGGGGGCTAGGCCTGGAGGCGAGGGTCAGCTTGTGGTCCTTTCACGTCGAAGGCAGCGACGGAACTTGCGGCCAGACACGCTGAGCTACAACGTGCCGCGCGGCTGCGAAACGACAGGAATATCGCACAGAAGCCTGTCAGTCTCGCTTGTGAGCGCAAGCACCGTTCCTAATCGAAGCCACTTTTGAATTGAGCCCGCAGGTTCTTGGACAGGCTAGGTTTGGGGTGAACATTGGCGACCCCTGCGCTGGTTCCAAATCTCAAGGGCTCAAGCACTGCCTCGCTGGGTACTGTAGGGTCTCCGCTTATTCACGCCCCCGCTGGCATCAAATCTAGCAAGCGTGCTTTAGGTGCCGTCGTGTTGACGGAACCACTCCGCGAAGTAGCGCTATGCCTGCATTCTGTAACTGCAGCGGCCACAAAATCTTTGTCTTTGTTCGTTCACTACTACTTTGTGGGTCCACCTCCAAAACGATTGCCTGTCCACGCATTGTCGACAGCGCCGTGATTTTTGCTGTGTAAATCACAGCCAGCTGAGAGGCACACGCTGCGGTGTGTCGGGCGAAACTCAGCGTGACCGAGCCAAGGATGATGAGCGTCGGCCACAAGTCGGCGAGATGGCCGTTGGCTTTGCAGATGCTGCGCAGCCGCGTGGACAGCAGCTCGAACGCTTGAAATCTTCGTCACAAGACTCTCGGCCTTCGAAAGCTCCCAATGCCGGCAAAACGAACTGGATCGGGGCTGAGGCCTCCACCACCATCGCCTAGCGCCCAGCGACCGCAGCGCGGGCGCGGTGGTGAGCGCGTGCGAGAGGGCCCTTTGCTATCGAGTTGTGTAATTCCACAGTCTTTTGCCGCCATGGAGCTGGATGATCCGTTCGAGCTTTCCAGTACCTCAGCTGTGGTGCCCCAGCGTTTCGGGATCAGGCAGAGCAATGGGAGTTGGCATTGGAGCTCTTCCAGGACAGCACCGCTTGGGTTTGGGGGAAGGTCCACTTGCCTTGGTGTCGACGCCACGCGGAGAAGATCTTAAAACTCTTGAGTGCCGACGCCAAAAGCTTCGGAGCTTGCTCACCAAGTAGAGAAGGCCCTGAACTTCCCTGAACCTTCAGAGATGCACCATCAGTCTCACTGCTCCCTGGTTCCCCAGAGCGCAGGGCCTGGGTCGGGCTTCGGTTCAGACGTCGCCGGTGGTCTTCAACGCGGCCCTGAGCGCTTGTGGGGGTCTTAGAGGGGGCCCTTTAGCTTCAACAGCTTGGAATCTGCGAAGTTTACGCAGCTGTTGACTTTAAGAATTTCTGGCCTCTCAGGCGCCAAGGGTGCGCAGTGGGAGAACGCCATGTTGCCTGGCTGAAGACTCGAAAATCAGGTGGGGCCACCATGGCGAACCTTTGCAAAGCAGTTCTTGAGTGGACGAGCCGGCTTGTGTAATTAGGAAGTTTGAACCCTGACGCGCAGCGCACGCAGCGGTTGGACAAGGGCGCAGCAGCCTGCTTAAGGAGGCATCTTCTTACCAAGTTGGAATCTAAGTGACTGCCCCGAAGATGAGCATGTTGTCAGACCTTGCCTAGGTACAAGTATCGCCTCAAGTCGCTGCTTTGAAGCCCTTAATTGCTCAAGTTGGAACGAGCCTACGAAGAAGTCTGCAGTTTTGAAATCAATGCAATGCCCGGCATCACGTGCATCCTCATCAAGTCTTGGTTTGCTTGCAGCTGTTGGAGCTGCAATGGAGCAAAATAAAAATTTCAGGGACCTGCGTAGCGTTTCGACGCATCTGCGCAGAAAAACAGCGTGTCTCTGTCTCCGAGCCGAGGCAGCTTTACCGCAGCTTGCAGCGCTCCCTAAGACCCGACGAGGCCCTGTGGGGCTTGGGTTTAGCCTAACCTCTGGCTCCCCTTGAAACCGTGCCCAGCCGTGCCCAGGTGTCACGGAACTCACTGCTGTGTGCCCTGGCTGCTGCCGCACGCTGGGAGGAGCGTGAAGTCCACACGACCCGACAGGGCGAAAGGGCTCAAATGCTGAAGGTTGCAGGGCCAGGGCCCGTCAGCCAGGCCCAGAGGTGAAGCTTCGGGGGAAGGGGCGGGCACCCACCCTTAAATAGCTACGAGCCAGCAACCGTGCACACCAGATGCGGTTCGTCAGCATTCATGACTACAGTTGAAAAACATTCTTAGGCTGGACCCTGGCAGAGCTTCGAAACTTTCGAACTTAGATATGGTATATTATAGGCATCACAAGTCACAGGTGTCCGCACATGCCCAGATGTGTTTTGGCGCTTGGAACCGCAGGGGCTTAGCTCAAGCGCTTGTGATCCGCCGCCTGCCATGGCTGAGTGTCATCATTCTACCAGTAACTGGGCAGCCTCGGGCATCTTCGAGCGCAAGGCGATTGCACGTGAGTGTGTGATCACGTTTGGGTGCACCGGAATCTACATGCATATATATATATATAGATGTGATTATATGTGTGCATGTACATCAGGGCTCAGAAGACTTCCGCGCTGGAGATTGCTGGTAGCTCCAGTTCGCTGTGGAATCGCCCAATGGGAGAGGGAGCTCCTTTTGCCACACAGTTTGGCAGATGCCTTCTGTGTAAGCATACCCGCTGGCCACGATATACAGATGCTCTGAAGGTGGATGTTGCATGTCCTACCTTGGATGATTTCTGTAGTTGTGAGCGCGTTCAGCGCTGTGAAAAGGCTGGTGACCGCCTCTCCGATGCACATGTGCCACCTGCTTGGTTTGAGAGCGCGGCGGAGTTTAAGCATGATGGCCCCCAGGGAATACGTGCCAGGATGACCCCAGCATGTCTTCTTCGCAATAGGCAGGCATGAGTTCACAGGCAGGACGGAAATATGAGTGAGACCACTTGACCTTCCGTGATCTTGCTTTCGGTGATGTCGAAGGAAAACGCGCCGGTCTCTTTGGGCTGGTTGAAGGCATGCACCGACCAAGCGCGCAAGTCACAAAAACGCTTGTCCATCGTTTTTTTCCAGGATGTCAGAGGGAACAGAAGCCCCGAGACGACGTGATTGGCGCACCAGTAGGCCCGCATGCTGGTCGGATGCCGCTTGCCACCTTTCCCGGCGCAGTGCATTCGCGATGGCTCTTTTCACCCTAGCCTTCCACTTACCTGGGCATTGCTGGGCTTCGGCACTCCAGGCGCACCAGGCATTGTGGGGGCCACCAAGGCCTTCTTGGGCACCAACGAGGGCCCACATCCACTGTACCGAGTCGCGAACATGAGCGAGCCAGCCCACCTCGCAATGTGCGAGCGCCCAGATTTTGGGAACCGCCAGCCGGATGCAGGACAACAGGTATCGAAGCCGAACGGCATGAACGTAAGTTGTAGCCTGCGGTCTTCCCGCAAACGCCAAGGCTTGCGAGGCGCCCATGTGCCATGCTTCCTCACACGAGAAGTATGGTCGCAACATCTGGCACGCCGTCTGTCTCAGCACAGAGGGAAGCGTGGCAAGGTGTTTTTCCTCAATCCCTGTCCATGTGCCCGAACGGTAAACAGAACTGCGGCAATGAGGGAGTCGAAAAGAAGGTGCACTTTAATAGGCGCTCCCCACTCTGAGTGCCAAAGATGCGTCGACCGGCCTCTCGCGAGCCCTGGGAGCATAAACTGATGAGTGCCTTTGTCCTCCCCTTGGAAAGGTTAGGCACAAGAGCTCGTTGCAGACAGGCGTCAATCAAAGCAGAGGCCCTTTTTGAGTGCCTCTATTAGATCAGCAGCCCTGGTGCTCATCAAGAACGTGGACAGATCGTCCATCCAGGTGGCATCCGATTTTCGAAGTCGCGTCCCCTTCCAGAGGAAAGATATTGCCCTCCATACGTGGATCCCAAGGTGTGCGGGCAAGTTGACCAGCACCTTGGATACCTTGGACAAGAGAAAAGAGAGCACAGGATCTGACAATGAGTCACCTGGTCTCGAGCCGGTCCGCGTGACGACTATTGCAGGCTCATTCGGCATCATTCGGCAATCGGAACCACATTTCATGAAGAGACTTTGATACAGCTTTTGCAGCCCAAACCATCGCGCCGGCTTCGCTGAGGAGAGAGCCTTGTCCAAGAAAGGAACGCAGCTCGTGCATGGTATTCTCCGGGCGTTGCACGGCAGCACAGATGCGAGCTGCCTCGATGTCCGTGACTTGATCTCCAGAAACCAGCGGCCTAATTATCCTACTATTGGCACATGAGCATACTGATCATGTCATCTGGGGCTGTGTCAAACCGCGATGCGCAGCTTGTGCCGCTGGCGCTGGAAGCTGACCTTCCGGATTGCTTACCGGATGCCCTGCATCGGTGTCTTCGGCAATGTGGTGTTCCATTGTTTTCTGCACAGGAAGGCTTCTTGGACGGATGGACAGCCTCAGCTTTGACGTCACTGCACTGCGATCTAGGGCTACTGAAAGTGATCAGGATGTCGAGTGCATTCCGGTTCACTGCGCAGGCATTGCTTGAGAGGGTGTTCCCCCTCCTTGAGGACCGTCAAACATGAGGGTGGCCCCCTTTTGTTTGGTATCTTCGGTTGTCCTTGCTTTTCACCAAGCTTGAGTGCTAAAAAGTCATCATGCTTGGGACCGCTTGCTCTATTGCATCACCCCCGTCCCGTCTGAAAGTGCAACTGTCTGGCATTTAGCGCGGATCTCTCCTTGTGGATTGTCCCGCGAGTTCATGCTGGAGGGAAATCATCGTGTTATCCTGTTTTTTTGCATGCATTTTTCATAACACTCGCACACGCAACACTCGCACACGCCGGCAGAGCCAAGCGAATCTTGACGGTGCCTACATCTGGCTCTCAAACACGCGAATGGGTAGAGCTCGCAAGTCGCAAGGGGCAAAAAAATACAAATCTGCGCAGGTGCATACGTACACGCGTATGTACAAACATACATACACATATACATAATTTATACATCTATATATATGTATATATATGTATAAATGTGTATATATATATATATACATATATATATATCCCTCTCTCTCTCTCTCTCTGTCTCTCTCTCTGCGACCCTTAACCCGAAGCCGTGGCCTTTCAACATCCGCGGAGGCCGCGCTGCAGCTGCCAAAGTTGAGTAGCCCATGCTGGGCTTGCCAGCAAGGACATGGCAGGGTGGTGAGCAGTTGACGCAATTGCGCACATATTTATTTATGTGTTTGTGTATTTGTTTGTTTATTTGTTTGTTTTATAAATATTTAATATATATATATATATATGAAAGCTTAGAACGTTTGCCGCCATGTGTTCCACACAATTACATTCACCAAGGTGTTTCTGCGAATGTAGAGATGTAGATGTGTCTGTGTGTATACTAAGTGTAGATGTGTGCACATGAGTGCTGCTGTGCGTCGGCCTATGTTGTATGCACATTTATCCGCGCACATGCGTTTGTGTTGTGTGTGCTCTGGCCCAGTTCACTTTTCACCCATGACATTCTACACCATCAGAGCCGTGTTGTAATCGCGAAGGCGCAGTGTGTGAGCTGCGAGAGCCCACAAGGAGCCTGCTCACGAGGCCGCAACGACAGAGGTTTTGATCTGGTCGTTGCAACGTCTAGCACCGATAAATTTTGAGGTGCAACAGTTGTGGGTAACTTAGGAATCCACCTAGTTTTGTTGTTGCCGCTTGCTGCACAGAGCTGCAGTTCAAGAAGCCTTCATCGTGGGCTAGTTTCCTCAAAAGCAACACGAAGGCTTTCTGAGTCAGCTCAGCTCGCCGCTGAGAGGCGTGGCCCTGCCGCGGTGCCGCCCGCATTTTCATTGGCCTTGGGGATTCCCTGGGCCGTTTGCCTGGGCCTCCGAAAAAGATCCGGTGGCGGTAAACCTGCGCGTGCATCCATCACACGGCGGCGTGTGGACGGGGATCTGAAAAGGGATGGAGCACGTTCGGGCTTGCGGTTGAAGCTTACGCTTGCAAGATGGGCTTCATTCCAGCCGAAGCCTTATGAACAACCCTTTTTGCAAAGGCCTTCTGTTTTCGAGTCTCTTCATGACAATTTCCATAGTCTTCTCTCTGCCATGCTTAGACAGCTGCTCTTCGTTCCCTACAGGTGGAGACCGGCGGCCGAATCCGACAACGCAAGAGGCCCCAGGACCGGCCTGACTTCGGCTTCCTGCCGCTTGAGACAAGTCAGGGTAAGACTACAACTTGACTACAGCAACTGATTACAACAAAAGGCATATGACTTGGGCTCCGAGGCTCTGCAGAGGCAAACTGGCCTACTGTTTCCGGGGGGGGAATGCGTGCGGACGTGAATCAGGACAGATGCCTGCCGACACCCTGCCTTGAGCCTTGCAGTCGCTTGCCCGAGGCAGGAGGCCCGGTGGGAGCGCTTCCGGCGCCGGGTCGCCGCGCTGCTGCTGGCTCCTGGGCGGCAGCCACCAAACAGCTACAAACCTTGCTACAGGCAGAGATCACGAATTTCCATAGGAGGCAGCTGGATGCGGAGACGTCGGGTTTCAAGCCTGCAAGGTTTCGAGGCTCTCAATGCTTGGGGTTGCGAGTTGTAGGATTCCCACTTACGCACCCCTATGGACAGTTGATCCTGCACGGTTCGATTGGGGCCTGCAACATGCAGCCAGCTACTCGTCAGGCTTTCGCAGTGCTGGCAGCTGCTTTCGGGGGCTGCATGTCCAACTCGCGCGCACGCCTCCTCCAATCACGGCAGCTTGGCCTCCGAGTTTGGGAGCTGTCAGTCGAGTCTTTGGCCTACAGTGGGCCAAAGCCCCTCAAAGCTTCGCCCAGGTTGGAGCAGGGAGGCCAAACCGAATTCGTCTATAACGAAGCGACACCCTTCCGCCAGGCGCTTGGGCTGAGCCAAACCAAGTTGATGTTCCAACGTAGCCCACCCATACTAAGGGCTTGGCTTGAATTTCAGGGGCTTTGGGGCATCAAAGTTGGAGGGAGGCGGAGTCCTCTGCGGGCCTGAACGCTTGCTTCGACTCGCAACATCACTGGTGCAGCACTTGTGGCAAAGTCCGTCGCCTCGCACGAGTGTAGCAGTAGAACTGCGCTGCATTCCTGAAGTTGAGCACGATTCTGCTGGGCTTTCGCGCTAGGAAGAGGTTCCGAACTTGCGAGAACTGCTTGGCGGCCCTCTTCTGACAGAGCACCGAAAGCCTCAAACGTCCACCCTAGACTGCCCATACCACACGTGAGACCTGTTCCGAGACTGCTACAGCCCATCCTTCAGGCGCGCCTAGTGCTGAGCCGGGCATCTCTTCCGGCAGTGGCTTCGCCCAGCCACTGGGACCCAAAGTGTTTTAGACACGACAATCGGCGCCGGGATGTTCCTGGCGGCCCTCTGAGCAGTGGCACGAGCTTTGCAAGCTCTAAGTAAGCTCCACAGCGAACACAGAAGAAGAGGTCATGTCAATGTGCCGTCAAGAGCACCGAGTGAAAGTTTTCCAAGAACGCAGCAGCATGGCGCGGCGTGGACCAGAGCCTGACTTCGATAGAGGTAAACTGCATTTAACGGCACGTTTTGAAGGGAACCGCAGCTTAAACACAGTCAATGAGCAAAATAATGAACTTACAATAACCGCTTCAATGAGTGAACTATTAAATAGATCTGGGTTTCAGGAGCAACCTGGGAGTTCAGTAGTTTAAAGTTTAATGCCAAGTTTAATGTACTTGATACATTTTCAAGGGGGCCGCAGATCAAAGGCATCATTTGCTGGCTTGTGTCTTTCCGCTGCTCTCGTATGACCAATGTTGAGGGTGTAAGGACGTCGCTCACGAGGACGACACCTTGAATTCGATCTGGTGTGGAGGTGATAGGAAATAAGGAAATAAAGAGCTCTCAGAGAAAGAACCTCAACGCGAAGACCAAGGTGAAATTCCGTCGCCCTGGCACGAAGGGACCGGCTTCGTCTCGGACACAGCACACTTGCTTCGCAGCAGCACAGTGCAACGGAGCCTTGGCGCGCGCTTGGCAAGGGCAACGGTGTTTTTGCGGGCCAGCTTCGGGGAGGCAAGATGTGGGCCCGAGTTCAGACCGTTGGCTCCGAGGTTCGGATCTTAGGTTAAGCCGGCGGACTCCCACCCTCTTGAGGATCGACGAGCTGGCGCAAGAGATCCGCCGCAAGACGGGAGCAGAGGTGGCGGTGGTCACCGTGAAGCGCATCAAAGGCGCGGCAGAAGATCGGCAGGAGATCAAGCGGTTCACGACGGATGCTCGGCCGAAGAGGATTTGTAGTCACTTTTGTGCCCACGCGGCAGCCTGAAGCCTGAAGCCCCAAGAGTCAGCTCCCAGAACCTCTTCAACCTCTGGGGCCTCGGCGACCGGCGCCCTGGGCTGCACCTGTAGGGAAATTTAAAGCGAGGCTTCTGACATGGGTGAACTTCTGCTCGCAGTTTTTGGGTGCTCGAGCCATAGCCTCCCGGACAGAGAGTGTTATATCCCGCTTTGTAGAACCATGGAGTACAAGCTGGCAGTGGATTCCACCAAGAAGGCCACGGAGCTCCCGCTGTTGAGGGTATGCGGCACCGTGCAGCAAAATCCTCACATGCGGGCTTTCTGGGCCAGTACAATATCGTTCTTCCTTGCCTTCCTGGGCTGCTTCTTAAGAATTTACGACGATTCTGTATTCTTTCTAGTTTTGAGTTTAGGTCGTCTCTGATGTCTGAAGTCCAAGTGACACACTGTACAAGCAGCCAAGGCTGGTTTGCCTTGGCGCCCTTGGGCCTCGAAGTTGCGACCAGTATGGGGACGTGCGAGAACCAGCTCTTCCCTCCTACGGACTGCCCAACGCGACCAGCCTACCTGAAGTTCAAGAACTTGAAGAGTGGGCTGAGCTATTGCCAGTATGGGGTCCTCAAGGAGGAGGGCCAGCTGATCGACTGCAAAGACGTCCCCGCAGATGTGGTGAGCGGCGCCGACTCAACGGCTGAGCAGAAGGAGAAGTACAGGCCCCAGGTGCTTGCAAAGTGCGTGTGCACTCCGGGCACAGAATGCAAGTCGGCGACCTACTCAGCCAATGGGAGAACTTTAAGGTTTTTTCTCCTTATATATTTGGCCTCTGTTCTCTTTGGAAATTCTAAGAACTTTTTTGGGCCCGGGTATTGGAGAAGCGAGGTGATTGCGAACGCGGGCGTTGCCTCGGTTGCCTCGACAATCTTCGTGAGGATAGCCTTGGGGACGCTCCTAGAGCGCTTTGGCCCCGTGACTTGGCAGCAGGCCCCACTTCCCTAACATGCGAAATATGACAAAGCCGTCAGCACCACCAAATCAGCCTTTGACTGCCGAGGTGAACGTTCAGTGCGGCTTAATGTCCTTCGGGGCCTTCTGGGTGGCCATGGCAGCCGCGATTACGGCTCCATGGAACTACACGCTGATCCGCTTCTTCATAGGCTAGCGGGGAAGCGTCCACGATACTCATGTCACCTTTTCTGTAAATGGTAGGGCGGATGTCGAGAGAATAATCGTCATGACGAGCAGACTAGCAGCGACTAACGGTTCTATTCCGAGTACCAGCTGTTGACTTGACATATCCAAAGGGCATTGTAACGGCTTTTGTCCAATCCTATTCAAGTTCCCTCGGTCCAGCGGAATTGGGTTTTGACTGGTTCGCGATGTTATCATAATGAGTGTTGTGTTGCTATTCATGTTCTGCTACTGCCATTGCTTTATTCTGATCACCGCTGCTCAGATTGTCAATTTGGAATCACTGTCACTCCTACTGCCACCCTCCTCACCACCACTGTTGCTGCCGCCAGCATCGCAACAACCATCACCGTGAGCACCACGACCGCCACGGTCGCTACGACGACCACAACCACCTACCAACAACGACGACGACGACGATTACCATTAAAATTGTTTCAATTATTATTGTTACTATTACTGTTACTACCGCTGTTACTACTACTACTACTACTACTACTACTACTACTACTGCTACTGCTACTGCTACTGCTACTGCTACTGCTACTGCTACGGCTACGGCTACGGCTACGACTGCTACTGCTACTACTACTACTACTACTACTACTACTCCTACTGCTACTCCTACTGCTACTGCTACTCC